AAAATTGTATCTTAAATGGGTGGAGTCTTGCAGAGTGGTAGCAGAGGCTGGTAACCAAAAGTTAAGAAACTTAAATTCTGCCCTACAAGACTGAATGCTTCATATCACAGAGTTTGGGTAGTTCTGAGTGGTGCTGTAAAATGTTGCTGGTTTGCACTCAACTGTCATTCATATCCTACAGTGAACATGTGTTGTGTGCCATGTGATGTTGTTCAGCCAAACTCTTCAGATCAGTTCTGCAGCTTTTTTTATTCACCCAGAGATGTTTACTACCAAGCCAATGACTTAGAAATGAAACTCCTTTTCCACTGAGAGAGCCTCATTACCTTATTTCACAAGCATGCTGCAATGAAGTAATTTCTACAACTATGAGCACTCTTGGGACAGTAAATACAAAAGCATTCTTGCTGCGACCTTTGAGCATACAAGTTGTCTCAGAGAAGATTGCTCTTGTGAAGCTTAAGTCTAACCAGCGTGGCATTTTCTTGCTGTCTGGGCTAATTTTTTGCAAATATTTCTGTTCAGTCGATTGGTAGTATGTGCTTATTGAAGTGAATGGATTCAAATTAAATATAAGAAAGCGGCTGAAACTCCTGAACAGCTCTGCAAAGCAGTGTGTGGTCCTGGTTTAAATAAGGGGTTGTGCTGCATATTGAGGGATCCATCAACAAAAGCCAGGGGATAGGCCTGAAGCCCTGTCCTCCTTAGGTGAGCAGAATGCCGGTGAAACGTGCTACAAGGAGTTATTAAATGTCGACAGAAAATGGTTCTAGTTATATTACCACTAGGCATGTGTTGAGGTTCATTAACCTGTCAGTTCTGCCCACAGTTCTCAGCTGTGAGGTGTGACCTGGTGCTCCTCAGTGCATTAGCAGGAATACCAGCTCAGGGATAACACGACATAGAACAACAACCGAAAATAACATCAACTTTGTGTTTCCTGAAGATGCTCATTGTCACTGTCTGGGACTTGGGCGAAGTCAGAGGCAGTCCTCCTTGGCACAGCAGCTGCTGATGCATTAAACCCTCAGCCTGTGGCACTTCCACAGAATTTGCTCTGTAGGTTAGAGGAAATGCACTGATTATTTGGTTCCTCTGTCAGAAATCCATCAATCCACAGAAATGCAGTGAAATAATAATTTTAGTAGTAAATTATTCTGCTCAACACCAGCATTTGTCTTAGATAAAACAAAGTTGCTGTCCTCTTTTCAGAGCACATCTTTATGTTAGCGCTCTATCGGATTTAAACTTGATAAGTACTTACTGATACTCAGCTGTGTCTCAGTGCAGTGTAAAAATAGCATTATCTGACCATATACAATAAGTATTACCAAAGGAAAGTGGTTTTACCTACCCGAAAAAAATAAGCCCAAATCTTGCATATAAAACACACCAGAAATTAGATGTGCCTTTAGTGTGAAAGTTTGATCCATTATGTTTTTGCAGCAGTGTACTTGTGATGTAGCATTGCAGTAGCAATTAGCTACAGGAGTAACAGGGCAAGAAGTATTAACTCCCATCAGTGTTAATGCAGGTTCCTTGAATAAATTCTTACCAGCATTTATCAGGCATTGCAGGACCTTTTATTCAAAATAGCAGCTCTCTTTGAACTATGTTGATAAATGTGTGCACATGAGGGGAAGAGAGGAAAAAAAGATAAATGCCCTCTTCATTCTCCTTCCCACCTTCCCTCCAATGGGGATTCAGTAGCTGAGAAGACAGATTGGCTCTTCTTGGTCCTCACTGCTACAACTGGGAGTGATAGATCAAGGTTTTCTTGTCACTTTTCCTGTAGCTCCATCCTTCGGTTAGGAGCCCAGTGTCTGAGTAAAGGCTGACAGATAATACCTTGGCGTCTTTCACAGGATAGAAACCCTGATTTCTGACCTCCCATAACCTTAACACAGACTTCTCGTCTGACAGCTACTTTTCTAACCTCAAATACAGCTCAGCAGTGAGTACTGCCTCCATCTCTTTCCTCTTGACTTCTCCCCCAAAGCAGATGAAAACAACATAACAGCAAGTTTATAGAAGAAAAATGGGTAGAATTTGCTGATTTTCTTCTTTTCCAGTCTGTACTGTACTTTTTACTATTATTATTACTATTGTCATGCCTATGATCATGGATATCAGGATATGTTATCCTGCCATCAGTGTCCCTACTTGTGTCACCTTACAGCTAGTCTACAGCACCTACACCAAAACATGAAGCTGGTGGTACATACAAGGCTTTTATTTATTGCAAAATAGTACAATATGTCTCTTTCAGGGCATCAAGTTTATTTCTCCACAGTCGCTTTGGTGGGTGGTCTTTATCCTTATTATTAAAGCACTCTTGGTCTAGCCCTGGATGTTGGATTAATCATCTCCTGGCCTATGCTGAAGACTGTAAGCTCGAGGTCTCTGCAGCTTTATTCCCATTCATTCTTCTACCTCTTGGATAGTAAGTTGGCTGCAAAATGATCTAGTGTAGGCATGGAAATTAAAGTTATACCTGATGTTTGCAGGGGGAACAGGATGCATTATCTGCAGACCTTTATTTTTGCCCAGAGAGGAGAGAAGATGGGGGTAACTGATCTACAGGAAAGGCTCATAGAATCATAGAATAACCTGAGTTGGGAGGGATCCCGAAGGATCATCAAAGTCCAGCTCCTGATCCTGCACAGAACAGGGTCCCATCACGTGCCTGAGAGCGTTGTCCAAGCTCTTCTTGAACTCTGGCAGCTTGGAGCTCTCACACTTACAAGAGCTCACGTAGCACTGGACTGAACTCCCCCTGGACAGAAAGGATTTTTGCAAGTTCCATCGTGTGCTGCTTTATGCACACATTATTTTGTGTTCTGAAGCATAAATGTACAGTACCATATACATTTAAAAGTAAAACCCAGCAAAACTAGAACCCTAATCAAAACAAACAAACAAACAACAACAACAACAAAAAAAAAAAGACTCTACATGAAAGAGACTGAAAACATTATTCAGATTGCTTATGTATTTTATATTATAGAGGGTACTTGCATTTAAGCAAGGTGTGCATGTTAAGAATTTATATAGAGATTATTTGGTTGCATCATAAATACTTCAATTTTTGTCCATTTTAAAAGATGTTGTAGCACCTTTTTTAGACAGTTGCAGAATGCCTTTACAGAGTAAAGTATTAGTCTTTCTTTCTGAAGGTGATTTGGAAAACCAGTAAGAACTAAGTTGTTGACTAATATAGTTGCATGCAGTTCCCTTTACCTTCCATGAGGTTTCAGTTAGTTCAATGGCATGTCAGCTGATGGCATTGTTACTTTGCTATATGTAATGGTGTAAACTGTCACAGCTTTTTAAATTTTTTCTTTAGGCAGAGATACCACATTTCAAGTGCCCTGCCTTGGTCTGCACTTTAAAATTTGAGAGTGAATTACACAATTCATTTTGCCATGTCTGTGAGCTCCAGCTGGTAAATTCTATGGTTATGGATAGTAATATTGGTTTTTTTATTTGTTTCATATCTGTAGGGCACTTGCTTGGGCTTTCCCATGATGACTCCAAATTTTGTGAGGAGAACTTTGGCTCCATGGAAGACAAGCGCCTGATGTCCTCCATTCTGACCAGCATTGATGCTTCAAAACCCTGGTCCAAATGCACTTCAGCAACTATTACAGAATTTTTTGATGATGGTCATGGTATGTATCATCACATGTTTTTACTGTGATCTATTTTTTAAATAAGAACATCTTATGGCAGCTTGTTCATTCCTTGGTCATCCTCAGGACTATCTTGGAAGTGCTTGCAAAAGTGAGCAACAATCTAAAAGCCTGGCAGAGTCTCACCTTCCCTGCAGTGGTTCAAATGGAAGAGAAAAGAAAGAGTTGGTGGAGTATATGTTGGCAGTACTGTGGTTTGGAAAATTGAGAGGTTTATTTAAAAGCATGATATTAGTCTTGTCTTCCCAAATGCCACAGATCTGAGCTCAGAGGGTCCTTTAAACAAAGGCCACAAGGAAAGGGATTTTTCCTCACAGAAATTAAAGTGGGTGATACAGTCTACCTAGAGTTAGCTCTTGTTACCATTAATGGCATTTATTATGTTTACAATGCTGTTATATTTATTACATTTATAATGCCATTGTATTTATTATGTAAATACAGACTCCTCTGTGCTATATATGGTAAAAGGTCACTTCTGCCCCAGGAGCTTACCTTCCAGAGTCGTGTAACTATTATTTGTAAAATATGAAATTTAGCTCTTGGAGAATAAGTGAAAAACTTTCATTTTCCAAAGGTAGAAATAAAGTCTTCACTCTTTAATGAGTTTTAAAGTCTTCACTATGCTCCCAAAGCAACAGCAGTTCTTAAATAAACCACTGAAATTCCAAAATGCTGAGATAAAAATGACATAATTGAGTGAATAGATCAAGTTGTTATGGTAACTGAAATGCTTATGGATAAAAACTACCGTATGTCTGCTGTATGTAAAGGTTTGCTCTTAAATATTTTGTCAACTAATTTTCTCTGAAATATTTTCTTCTGTTTTTCTTGATTGGAGAATTACTTCATTTTTTCTCTCGATTTTATTAGATCTATTAATCTGTACTGTCCTGTTTTATGATCCATATTGCTCTGGCAGTGACTTAATATTACAAAGTTAGTTTCCACATAGAAAGAGAACTTTCCCTTTTGAGTTTAGTTACTGAGGTACAGTGCAATCCACGGGGCTAAAAACAGGGACTTCTCCCGCCATCCATAAATAACCTCTTAGAGAGCAAAAGGAACACTGACCTATTTTTCCTCCTCTCTTCCTCACCTGCTGCAGGCGAGTAGAAAGGTTGTATTTTTCCTTTTTTTTTTTTTTTTTTTTTGGTGACCCGAGTTGTTCTCTTTGCTATGCATCCAGCGAGCTTCTTTCTCCAGCAACAAAGCGAGCAAAGAAAGCATTTCTCCCACCCACCTCACCTTTGGCTTTTTTCTATATGAGGGATGCTTGAAATTTGGACTCTTATTCCTGAGCTGGGCCCAGTCTCAGTATCGAAGTAAGGTGGGCCTGTGACAACCTGTCCTGGAGGTCTAACAGTGTAACTACCAGTTTTTTATGTACAAACAGGCAAGAGCTTCCCATCCTTCAGAGCTGTGTTATGGGCTCCTTGTTCATCATGAGTGCTGAGCTCTTGCACGAGAAGTTTGGCAGTTCTCAACTGCTGACACTTTCCCTTGAATCATGGAATTACGGAATGGTTTGGGTTGGAAGGGACATTAAAGTTATGTAATTCCAACCTCCTGCTGTGGGCAGGGACACCTTTTACCCACTCAGCTTTTCACAATGTCACGTGTTCTTTGCTGCATGTAAAGGACTTAGAATCTGTCAGTCTGTTAAGCAATAGGTGAGGGTACATTGCCTTTTCTAAAACTCATGAGTAGTTTTCACTCAGGTATGTAATCTTAAAGAGTTATTGATATGATGAAATAATTTATAGATAATTTGAACCTCTCATCGCAGAGTTCCATAGTCCTCTGAGAACTAATGTTGTTACTAATTGGTGTGATTTCAAATACACGGTGTTTAGGGGAATCTCTTTTCTTGATAGATCAGTCCTTCAGAGACCTTTGCTGAGTAACAGTCTTCTTTTCTGTTGAAATTTATAATTTCACAGTTATTTATTTTAAATCAAAGATCAGTCTTAAAGGAATGAAAACACTATCCATGAGGTAAAAATGGTCAATGGTTTAAACTGCACATTCTTCGAA